TGACAGACGTGTACGTGCTGATGTTCCTGGCAGACACGGTTGATTTCATCATCATCGTGTTTGGATTCTGGGCATTTGGGGTACAGTGTTTTCGGCATGTCTCTGTGGTGTTACCCTCTATAACAATTTATTCATGTATAGAGTCGTTAAAATTATGTTTTGCTATTTCAATGTTGTTATTAATTCAACTTAAAGTTTTTAATTATTAATTCTAAATTTAGTGCAGCGGCCAGCAGCATGAAATTAGAACAGGGTGAGGGATATTATATGCTTTGCTGTTCCATGATTATTTTATGGACACCTTCTGTTTCATACAGAGACACACGGCAGCCGCTGATATCACTTCTTCTCTGTCGGAGGACCAAGTCCCTGAAGCCTTTCTGGTCATGGTCCTTATTCAGTTCGGCACGATGGTTGTGGACCGTGCCTTGTACCTCAGAAAAACAGTCATGGGCAAAGTCATATTTCAGGTCATTTTGGTGTTTGGGATTCATTTCTGGATGTTCTTCATTTTGCCTGGAGTCACAGAAAGGTACTGAACACAGTAACATCACCTTTGAAACTTTCCATGTTCAAACATCATCATCATCATCATCATCATCATCAAATATTATAAATTCCTGAGCATTGCAGATATGCACAAGAATGTAGGAAATTTTTTTTAAATGAAATAGAACAATTTTTAGTAGATTGTTTTCTGCCAATTTATTTGGGTCTCTCTCACTCACCAACTTTCATTAATACACCACAAAATTCTGATGAAGGTGTTTATAAATGTGTGTGTGTGTGTGTGTGTGTGTCTGTCTTTCTGTGTGTTTCAATCCTCAGGCGCTTCAGTTTGAACACCGTGGCACAGCTCTGGTACTTTGTGAAGTGCATTTACTTCGGCCTGTCGGCCTATCAGATCCGCTGTGGCTATCCCACCCGCGTTCTTGGCAACTTCCTCACCAAAAGCCACAATTACATCAACCTCTTTCTCTTCCAGGGGTGAGTGGATGAAGTCTCCTTCTATGTTTATACAATGATCCACATTAGTTCCACATCCAAGTTCTTCATGTCAGCGCACTTGCTTTACTCGTGGATGATGCAATTTGTCTTGTAAATACCAGACAAAAAACAGACGTGCTGTATTCTTATGTTGATATTTTGTAACCTGTTGTTTTTAATCACAGCCCTTGATATCAGGTCTTGGCTGAATAGCAACACAAGCTGCTAACCGCTCCGCAGTCCTTGTCCCTAATTGTGCTTTTTATCATCAGTCGGCCTGTCGTGTTCAAAAGGTGTTAAGGCTCATCACGGGGCACCAAAGCAATAGCTTTGTATGTTGCTTGCTAGCTTTCGTCTGGTGCCCTTCCTGACGGAGCTGCGTGCGGTGATGGACTGGGTGTGGACGGACACGACGCTCAGCCTGTCCAGCTGGATCTGTGTGGAGGACATCTACGCCCATGTGTTTGTGCTGAAGTGCTGGAGAGAATCGGAAAAGGTAAATCACGGTGGGTCCATGCGTGCTCCATGCCCGAGTACCTTCAAGAAGCAAGATGGTCCTTTCTTGAGGTCGTGGAAGAAAATGAATGCAGTAGCAGCAGTGTTGCATAATGTGACGGTTTTATTCAAAATGTTACCGTGCTGAAACATGGAATAGGCCCTGGTGTATTTCTGTAACTATACAGCTGCATGTGTCTGGTCTTTGCCAGAGGTACCCGCAGCGCCGTGGGCAGAAGAAGAAGAAGGTGGTGAAGTATGGCATGGGTGGCCTGATCGTCATGCTGCTCATATTCATCGTCTGGTTCCCTCTGCTCTTCATGTCACTCGTCAAGTCTGTGGCCGGAGTGGTGAACAAACCACTCGATGTCTCTGTCACAATCACCCTGGGGGGCTTTCAGGTGGGTCAAGCAACTGACGAGGACGGGCAAGCATCTGACGAGGACTGGCTGTCTTGGGGGATGAAATGTGTGAACTGTAAAGTCGGCGTGGCACATTCAACGACCCATTCTTGTAATTTCAGGCCTGTTGTGTTGCCTATGAGATTAAAATCCTTGCTGATGTTTCCATATCGCATATAAATGTCAGCATATTTCTGGGTTTGGAATTTAAGAAGTGGATTAAGTTCGAAAGGATCTTCCTTGATGTTGGTTAAAATTTGATATCTGATATCAGATTGAATATTGCTGTAGCACTAAGTGCATTTAAAAAATGTTTTATAAATAGTATTTTTTGCATTTCATTTTCACAGCCAATCTTTACGATGAGTGCCCAACAAAACCAACTTAAGGATATGTCTGAGGCGGAGTTTGTAAAATTCATGAATGGGTATAAGTATTGTCCTGTAAGTACTTTTGATACATTTCTGTGAAATGCTCTTCTGTATGCTGTGAAAAAGCAGACAAAGGTGTCTGATAAGCAGGACTCACAGTGCATTAACAATGTGCTGGGGGTATAGTGGGATTTGAATCCCCCCACCCTGGAGGTGTGAGGCAGCAGTACGACCCACTGAGCCACAATAAACAGGACATTTTGATCAAGCTGTGCTGTGTCTTCAGGGTGCATTGCAGTTTCTGGAAGCTTACACATCTGATGATGTCACAGTGGCAGAACTGGAGGGGAGCTCAAACTCTCTGTGGACCATTAGTCCACCCAGCAGGAAAAACTTGATGCAGTTACTGAGTGAAGATGACCAATTTTCTGTTACCATATCCTGGTCCATTCAGAGGTACAACTGAATTGTAATTAATGCTTTTTTTAAGTTGTTTGCCATATTCTATTATGCAAAGCAATGTAATATTAGCCACACAGTAGATCACTTTAACTAATGGAATGATCCAGTTGAAAGTACATGTTACTAAAACGTGTTCTGCTTCTATTGTTAATCAGGAATCTTAGTTTAGGGACCGAAGCTGAGCTGGCATCAGATAAACATGTGACCCATCTTGATATGGAAACAAGAAAAGATCTTATACAACTGCTAAATGGGACAAGGAGAGAGGCAGTGTAAGTATTTGCTGAGCTCTGAATGTCCTCTATGTGCCATTCCTGCTCAGTCTCAAGCCTTTTTTCCCCACTTTTCTTTGCAGAATAATTGCACACATCTTCCCAAGTTTTATTCGTGCTCCCAGCAACTCTAATGCCAAACCAATAGATAAGCTTTATGAAGGTAATGTATCAGGAATTTCGCTACACATTGTATTGAGTGCAGCTGCGACAGATAAAGCTGTGACTTGAAGTGATGGAAACCAAAGGCCTTGAGCTCAGTCTCTAGTCACATATCATGGAGACAAATTGCACTCTAGCACAATTTCTTTGAGATACAGCTATCGGTTAAAGTTGCAGCACAACTCAGTATGCTGTGATGCTAGTCCTTTATTAAATTCTCACACATCAGATTAGTAACCTATCTTTAAAACTTCATTAAGAAATAGAATTGAGTGATATAGACGCAGTTTAATCTGCACAGGATTCTCGTCGTCAGAGACCTCTCTGCCGCAGCTGGATATGGATTAGTCTTATCTGTTTTAGATGATGAGTATATGAACATTACTCTGGCACTGGAGAGGAGCCATAATACCACCAGGAGCATCCAGGAGTGGTGGATAGTGGACCAGGTTTCCAGTGGAAAAATTAACGTGGGCAAAGGACACAAAAAGAGTAAGCCGGGTCTAAGGCTGTACGTGTTCAGTGATAAAGTCAGCCCACCCAGCTTGGGCTTCCTGGCAGGTTATGGGTGAGTAGCTTCTCATGTCGCATAACAGATGACTTGCTAGCTGTAGCATCTTGGCTAGCAGAAGGATCACTGTTGCTGCACCTTTCAGGAGAGTTTGCCTATAACTTATCCAGTTATAAATATATGCTGTGTGTAATTGCTTTAAAGACATCAGTTATCCAGCAGAATACTGCAATAAACAAACAAGCACTTGCAGAAAACATATGGACTAAGTGTCTGGTCCACAGGATCATGGGTCTGTACGCATCAGTGGTGCTGGTCATCGGCAAGTTCGTGCGGGAGTTCTTCAGCGGCATCTCGCGCTCCATCATGTTCGAGGAGCTGCCCTGCGTGGAGCGCATCCTCAAGCTCTGCACCGACATCTTCCTGGTGCGCGAGACGGGCGAGCTGGAGCTGGAGGAGGAGCTCTGTGCCAAGCTCATCTTCCTATACCGCTCACCTGAGACGATGATCAAGTGGACCCGAGGCAAAACACTGTGAGGCCTGCTGCCAGTGAGGAGATCCCATCGCCTTCTTGAAGACTGCACAAAAATGAAGACGCTGACCCTGGCTCTGGGCCATGCTTGCTGGCCGGCTCGTGTGTGGTGCTGAACACTGATGGGATTTCACTCCATCCTACACTAACTTGGGCTGTGCAATATGATGTATGAAAGGATGGCTACAAACGTGTTTGGGCAAACTGTTTATTGTGAGCTCATACTGGAACAAAGAACAGCAACAGACTGAGACACTTGCCACTTTTAAAAAGACTTTCTTAAACCTGGGAATATTTTGTCTGTGGCGGTGAGTCATCTTATTTTTACTTGACTGGTCAATGTCTTCTCTATGACATGTTTTTCTCAGGAATAGATAATAATCATCTCAAAAGGAAAAAGGTTTTATTCAGTGTCCACTGTGTCACAAAGAGGGATTGCGGAGAGAGGTTGTGATGATAAACTTGCTGTCATTGCGTTTGAGCCAAGGGGTCCCAATGACCCCAGATGGAGGGCTCTAGAAGCATGGTTTTTATATTTTTAAGTAAAGCAAGCATTTTCTATCCAAATGAAACTGAGTAAAGGTTCAGACTATGCATTCAACAAATATAACAGGAATTATTAGCAGTGATAAACTGTTCAGTGTACTTTTTATAAAATAAAGTATGCATTGATCTCTGTGAGTGTTCAAGGTTATTTCATGCACTTGTGTTTTGATTCTCTCAACGTAAATCAAGTTTGTAAAGATCACATGCCTGGATCTGTAGCAGTTACTGTACAGTAAATAAGAAGAAACACCCACTTTGGTATTTGTATGGCGCTTGCAAACGTTTACTCACTTATCTGACACTATTATCCTAAGAGTGAAGGGAAGGGACCTTTGCGATAAAGCTGACAAGGGACCAGTTCCATTTTCAATGTACATACACAGGTCACATACTGTGAAACAGTGTTTTAATCTTACCTTTAAATGCACAGAATACACTACAAAGTCACACCAAAAAAAAGGTTTAAAATAACTGAACTCTGATTTTAGTCAAATACAAATAATGTAGTGTCTTTATGCTTTTTCAGCAAATTCCTTACATGAATCATAGTAAGACAAGCTATAAATGTCATTCATCAAGTTGGTGTTTAGTAAAGAATGTGTTGGTGGGGAGAGGGGGGCAGGTGATGTCATTTGGAAAGAAAGAAAAAACGATGGAAATTAACATTCCACCACAAAGACCAGCAGAACAGTAAACATGAAAATAATTTCCAGTTCTAATAAGAAATGTTTCAAATACAGGATATGGGGTCTCGAGATGTTTTACGTCAGCACTGTAACAGCCATCGATGACACTGCCATTGACAAAAACTCTATTTCAATTTCATTGTACAGGTATAAGTGTATGAATGACTCCTTCAAGAGCACATTATTTCCTTGCAAGTTTAAATATTAATTTAAATACACCCATATTATTACTATACAATGCATAAACTTGCAGCTCCGATATTCTTCCTTATGTAACCTGGGACTTTTCAATGACATTATTTTTGTACAGAAATAAAGTGACCCTTCTAACATTCTGAAGGGCGGATAAACTAAGGGGACTGCAGCAAATCAAAAAAGGGGGCTATCAAAATTATGACATATAGCACTTACATATATTTTACCACACTGCCATGCTTCTGCCGTTATGGTGCAAGTGCACAACGCTGTCTGGATAGATGTGACGTGGAGCCGGACGCCGGGATGCGGGGCGTCCACACCTGGAGGTTAACACAGGCCCCCTGCATACTCGTCGTCCTCCTCAGCAGCCTGAGCTCCACCAGCCTGTCCTTCAGGACCAGAGGGAGATTTCTTTTTCTTCCCACCCCCTGGCACCTTCAGGCTGATTGCCAGCTTGGCATACTGCAAGGGCAGAGAGACAGAGAGACGAAGAGAAACGACGCAAACGTCAAAGCACGGGCGAGAATACTGGCAAGGAATGTAGGGATTTAAGAGTAATTTACACGACGTGTTAAAGCTCACATCGTTGTCCATGTACTTGAGCAGAGGGGAGTGGCAGACACGGCTGACTTGCTCCTCATCCTGCTCATCATAGCCCTGCAAGAGCTGCTCCACGGCTGCACAGTCTTCACTCCCACTGAACCCTGGGATGCTGGGAAAGAGCATTCCGGCTAACATTAAGCTGCAGCGCCTCCTTACCCCTGTTCGCGTTATAAATACGGCAGGGATAGCTCAATGTACCTGTAACTCTCTCTCACGCATTTATCTGCAGCCACGAAGTCATTTCTGTGAAGCTGCACGAGCACCTGGGCAATAGTTTTCTGCAAAGAGAGACCTCGATTGCATATCTGTTTTCTTTAATATCAAACATATTTCTATTAAACACAGAAAGATCGTAAAAAGAAAGCCAATCCATCATAAATGCAAAAGAGCATATGACTAAACTGGAACCAACTCTATATCAAAATGTAACACTTATTGCTGGTGATATGTACTGCTTACATGGCATTATCTTCAGGTCCAGAAAGTAAAAATCCAAACCTTGATTTTGTTCCACCCAACCGGTCGAGCACTCTGTGACTCTTAATACGCAACTGGTTGGATGGAATAAAATCTTGGTCTGGATTTGTACTTTCTAGACCTGATCTGATCTTATTCATACCTTAAAGCATGTAGGGTAGTTTTCTATTTCCTTGTACATATTCTTCTCCTTCTGAAGGGACACAGCTGCTTCATCAAAACTGACAAAAAAAAATATTCCATGATTTATTTTAGGCATGAAGGGAAAAAAAAACAAGCCACAACAGGTTTTGTGTAAGGACAGTTGGAGGGCTGTACCGACGTTGCCGGACTAGGAGTCTTGAAGCTTTTCCTAACAGTTCTGAGGCCTGTCTTAGTCGATCTTCATTCTGCAGATTATGAATAATGACACATGAATTATTATGCACAATGTACAGTAACAGAATCACATGGTCTCTGCCCGAATTCTCAGCTTACCTCAAACACAGACGCTGCATGCTGGTAAAGATGAACTGCTTTATCTAGATCTACTGGTTCAATTAGCCTGAAAAACGAAGCAAGATTACACTTAGAAATTCTTTTTTTTTTTTTTTTTGCAAACTCAGTTAATTTTGTTGTTGCTCACTTTACGCTTTATTGACATGCTTTTATCCTAAATGCCTCACTTAAATATTTTTAGGGGTTTTTAAAGGCTAAATGTGTGCATGTCACATGTGACACAAGTCTTTTTAAGCACCTCACCTAAGTACTGGGATTCGAACTATATACTCCAGAACCAGAACCCTTATAACACTTACAAATTCTGGTAAATACAGAACCTTGAGGAAAATACGGAAGGTGATGTACTTTCGTGACAAATATATTCAAATGGAAAATTGCTCTCCTAGGAATGATCTTTGAAACTGCAGAACAATGACATCTGTTAAGCGGTGGATCCAGGAATGATTTGTTTACTAAGGCTTGTTTTGTTCATGCATGTGTATGTAGAAATGAACTCACTTTCCAGCCCTGTCCAATGCCATCGCAGCAGTGTCAGGCGTGCCATTTTCTACATACATCATGCTGGCTTTCTCGATATACTCAACTGCCTCAGGGATCCGCTGCATGTCCTGCAGAATGCGGTCAGAGTCAAACCACACCTCTCAGTCTTCATCACACTGTACACGCTATTCAAATGCAGTCACCAACACATTCTGGAACACTGAAGAACATTCCACTGTTCACTAAGCTGCCGTTGGTGTACAAACCATCATCTTCATCTCAAAAAAAATACATCAGTTCTAAAATGTACCTGCCACTTTTATTTGGTTCAAAACATACAATCACAGACTCTCTAATGCTGGCTCTGTAAACCCAGTACAGTGTGTTGCTTGTAAAGTAAATTACTACATACTACTATAAAAATACACCACATTTCTAGTGGTAACAACTCAACTCTTAACTTACCTTTAATATCATTCCAGCTTGTTCAAGCGCCCTGAAAATAAAATTATAGGTCACAAGAGGCAATAATCCATTGAGCAATGACCATATTGACACCTACATAATTGATATTATACTTATATATTTTCAGATATAATACTTACTTGGCAGCATGGAAAAGGCTGCACATGTAGTTAAGAAAAGGTTACCACTGGCGACTAACCCACTACAAACTAAAATATGTTCACATGTATTTTTGCAAACATTAGAATAAAACATTAAATCAGAAGCTGTTGTACTCCTGATTTCAGTGTGTAAGATGAGCCTTTCTTGCAGTTTAGGACAGGGTTTCTCAACCCGGTCCTCGGGGACCACCAGACGGTCCACGTTTTTGCTCTCTCCCAATTCCCTGCCAATTGGGAGAGAGCAAAAACGTGGACCGTCTGGTGGTCCCCGAGGACTGGGTTGAGAAACCTTGGTTTAGGATACGCTTTGTTGTTGCTGTGGGCTTCTGCTTCCTTCAGGTACGCGTCCTTGGCCTGCTCAAGCTGCTTTGCATTCTTGAAGGCCACAGCTGAAGAAAAGACATCACTTAGGCAGGATTGTGGTCTTCATACTTACAAAGTCATACATTAACAGAAAATAATTTGCCTAAAAGCCTACAAAAAGTATTAATAATGTGAAAAAAAAAAAAAACATACAATAATCCAAAAGCAATTGTAGTGGGCTTATTACAATTAAAAAGATCATATATGTTTAACCCAGGAAGGAAAAATATTGTTTTTCTTATACCCTAAAAACAGTGCTGGACCATGAATAAAATCATATGAATAAAAAGAGTACCTGCTTTTGCATACTCTGAAGCTGCACTATCATAGTCAGGCTTCCACTTCATAAAACTTGTCTTTAAACTGCCGTTAAAAAATACCAGTCAATACCACACACAAGAACACCAATCATTTGGTCAGTTAGTCACAATACAGTCACTGATATGATCAGGAGTCTTTCACATACAGCTCTGGAAAAAATTAAGAGACTACTCCATATTTTTTAAGAATCTGTATTGTTAAATCCTGGTTTAATCTTGGTTCTGTTGGCAGAAGACTACACTAAGCGGCAGGCTGCTTCCATCTAAGACTGCAGTACACAACAACATGGTGAAGCAGGAGACACTGGGATGAGCAGCTAGGTAGAGGGTGGAAGTGACTTTCTAATGCCAGAGATGACTGTCAACTTATCAGACAGTTTCTCATGAATCAGAGGATGAGATCAAATGACCTTCAAAAGGAATGGGAAACATTAAGTGCACTGCTAGGACAGTTTGTATCAGCTTCCTAGAAGCAGGACTGAAGTCCCATAAAGCAAGGAAGAAGCCCTTCATTAATGAGAAGCAGGGAAGAACCAGGCTTGAGTTTGGGGGGGAAAAAAGTATACTTTACACATAGGTGCATACCTATAAATTGAGAAATGAGTGAACCTAAAAATTATGCTGTGGTTCCTTAATTTTTTCCCAGAGCTTCTATGCCAGTTTGGTAGGAAAAGGCGGTCTGATGTAAAATCCTAGTAGTAAAAACGTAAGTATATCTCACACCTATCCGGTATAGGCTCCGGACCCCTGCGACTCTGCATAGGCCAAGCGGGTATACAGAATGGATGGATAGATACCTCACACCTATCGGAAACGTGATATTTAAGGTGCAATATTTACAGTTAAAAGCGCCTCTGGTTGATATTATATAGAGGACGGTGTGTGGAGCCGCGATTTAGGATCATATGCCTGTGATCTGAAGGGTCTGTAGTTGTCAGTGATGCTACTGTCTCGCTAGTCTTCACTTATATGTATATCATGATGTAAGAAACTATACATCTGGCCAAGAAATCTCTCCCCCTTTTACTTCGAAGACTGGCAGAATACAAAGCCTGCAGAATATGTAACTACGTGCATTGCAGGGGTCCGGATAGCGACAGCTTACAAGGTATTATATAGCATTTGTTGCAACTTACAAAAAACACTAATAACCTATGTATTTAACCTTAGTCATAAAAATACCAAACAAAACCGAAAGAAGACGTCTATAAAACAGGCATCTATCCACATAGCGTAACAGCAATCATATTTATTATCGCCAGCGTGGCTATATATAGTTAATTTAACATGAACCTTACTGCTTTTCAGCTTGGGATAGGTGGTCATGGGCTTCGTTTATTTTTTCAGCAGCCATGATACAGTCGTGGCAGTTAAAATAATACGCAGTTGTATAAATATATAACTGAGAAGAAAATTGGGACGAAATTCAGTAACACTTCCCCATCAGGCGTCTTCCTTGTTAAATTTTGACAACGAAATGTAGCAGGGTTACCAGACTGAGTTTATGATTCACGCGGTCATTTAAGTCTTGACACCGAATTTTTGGACAACAAAACGAAACGCTTTATATTCTGTTGCTGGAGTGAAATGCCCACAGATCTAAGCACCAAATTCCACAGCATTAAAAATAATTCTTTTTAAAGGTGATATTTTATATTTTTAAAATATATAGGCTACATTGAGTGTGAAACATCAGGCAACCCAGAAGTTCTACGTTACAATCATGCGCCATACATCAGAAAAACGCGACTCCAAATCCTTTTCGGTTCCGGGTTGTGTTTCGTTTTATTATATTGATTTAAATTATGTTACTCGTTTTTTTCCCTCTGTGTTGTTGCTGAATATATGTTTTGCATTGGTGAGCTTAGTGATGGGCGGACGAAACCCAACGAAGCTTTTAAGGCTTCTTCCTGATTGTGTCGGTATAAGGGTTCGAAGTTTCGAAGCTTTGAAAACAATGAGTGACACCTAGTGGTCTGCAAAAAATACAGTAACTGTGCACTAGAGACTGCAGAGGGAGCACGCCTACACGTGGTTGATTGTATCATGTGTCAATCCACTATGTGAATTAAAAGCTGAATGATCGTTGGATGTGTTAATTTATAAAAAACCATGCTACCCATTAAAAATACTCCAACAGATGTGAATGTGTGACATGATTGCATTATAATACCAGTAAATATTTGTATTCATCTGACAACTGTTTGGTGAAAGAACATTGTTGCTGTGGGACAACATGAAAGAATGATTCAATATCAGTATTTGGGGAATTGTGGCAAATGACAAAGACAATCATAATAGGGATTTAGGAAATGTGCTTACAGAACAGGGTATTTATTAAATATTTAGGCAGCTTTTTCTCTGGCTCAGTTTCACCTGCCTTGGAGAAGATTCCCACACACAGTACAGATGATGCTGGTATGCAAAGATACTGAATGTGTGACCTGAAACAGGTGGGGAAAAACAGCCTTATGCATGGTCCAGTAGCACAAAGGGTCCTCTGAGCCTGAAATGTGGGCATCTATAAATACAATGATAGATAGGGAGAAGTGAACAGTGGCTACTAAGCAAAATTTTTAACGAAATTCTGGACTGACCAGCCCCCAGTAAAATTTCAGATCTGATCATATATTATTTATTATGATTATTATAGTAAATATAAATATTCATTACACTGCAGTCCTAAACATTTTCCATTGGTTCCAAATGTAGTCCTATTTAGCCTGTATAACTGAACCTTCAATCATCTAACTAATAACCTGGTGAGCTGAGGCTTATAAAGTGATGCTCCTAGTTGGCACTCAGATTTCCAGTCTGGAGCTGTCCTGGGTGAGAGATGTCAAGCAGGTGTGTGTTTACTCATAGACTCTGCCTCCCAGTTTAGCACTTGTACAGTACCAGTCAAAAGTTTGGACATGCCAAGCCACCTATAAAGGAATGTGATAGTGTCATATCATGACCTGACCTATACACAGTACAAATGGTTTTGGAGGTGTTTGACTACAAAGTGCAGGATAAGCAGCCGATTAGTGTCTACATACATGTGGGACCGCATTCAGGACAGCTGGAAAAGCATCCCAGGAGGCCACCTCATGAAACTAGCATAGAGGAGAAAGTTGTGTCAGCCAGTCCTGGAGCTTCTTCTGCTAAGGTTTTAAGAGTACAACCATCAAACATTCCATACTTCTACGACCCATAGTGGTGGAGTGTACTTCTGCTTTTCTAAGCTGCCCCACCCTCCATTTTACTGAGATGTCCTGTCAAACACCCCATTTTTCACATTGACTTTTACAAGGATTTTGAAATTGCTGGCAGTCTTACAGATTCGAAGCCAAACTCATCAAACTTGAATCTCACAGTCATGGGGTAACAGTAAAACAAATGGCTACATTTGTTGGACGTCCTCGAACCCAGGTCCTCTCATCCAGCCAAAAATATTCAAAGTCAATGGGAGCTAAAACTGCCAATCAGGGTTTGAGTTGGTGGAGCCTCTAACAGCCAATCAGATTTCACACATTGACTTCAATGATAAAATGTAAACTGCTGCCATTGTCACAATTTTGATGGCTGGTTACCCAAACTTGCTGACATGGCTAAGCTGGCACCCCCTTGCCTAGTCAGCACCGTCCTTTACTAACTTGGCGCCTCATTTGCTAACTTGGCTAATTTGGCACCCCCCGTTGCTAACCTTGCTAACTTGGCACCCCTCTTTCCTAACTTGGCACCCCCCTTTTGCTAACTTGGCGCCCCCTTGCCTAGTCAGCACCCCTCATTGCTTACTTGGCACCCCTTGCTTACTCGGTGCCTCCCTTTGCTAACTTGGTGCCTCCTTTGCTAATTTGGCACTCCCTTGTCTAGTTGCCAACCCCATTGCTAACTTGGTGCCCCCTTGCCTATGTGGTGCCCCCTTTGCTAATTTGATGCCCCCATTGTTTACTTGACACCTCCCTTGTTAACTTGGCACCCCCCTTGCGTAGACGGTGCCACCTTTGCTAACTTGATACCCCCCTTGCCTGTTTGGTCGGTCACTGGGTGACTGCAGTTCAAGGATCGATAAAGTTGGCAGAGCCTCCAACAGGCAATCAAGATTTCACTCCATAACTTGAATGGCAAAATTTAAACTGTTGCAATTCTCAAACATTTGATGGCTGGGTCACAGTGGATCAATGAGAGGTTGCAGTTCAAGGTTCAAAAAAGGGGGGTGGAGCCACCAACAGCCAGAGTTCACTCATTGACTTTAATGTGAAAATTTAAACTGGTGCCCCCTTTGCTAACTTAGTGCCCACCTTACCTGAAATCAGTGAGTGAAATCTGATTGGAGGCTCCACCAGCTTATTCAAACCCTGATTGGCAGTTTTAGATCCCATTGACTTTGAATAGAGGAAATATTATTGGTTGGATAAGAGGACCTGGGTTCGACAACATCCAGCAAATGTCACCATTTGCTTTACTGTGACCCCATGACTGTGAGATTCAAGGTTGGTTGGTTTAGCTTCAAAGCTGTAAGAGTGGCAGCAGTTGGAAAATCCTCCCAGTAAAAGTCAATGGGGTGTTTGATGGGACAGAATGTGCACAAGCACATTCCACCACTATGGGTTGATGAAGTGTGGGATGTTTTGTGGTTGTACTCCTAAAACTGTATGAAGAGAAGTGTATAGAAAATGGGGGAGTGGAGAAAAAAACCAAGAACAACACGTGGATTTTTTCAAGCCAAAATAATGATAGTAATAATGGTTGCTGATGTAACAAACATTCAAAGGTCCATTGTTATTGTACCATTAATTAAGATGTAAAATCCTGTAGTTGCCAACACAGACATGTTTTCATTCATATAGTGCTGTCTTAAGAAGGTATGTGAGATTAAGAGAAAACACATATAAAAATAAAATTGCTTGAGCTGGATACAGATCCTGAAGGTTCAGTTGAGGTTCCCGGTGAAATTGTGGGTCTGATGTGTCAGAGTTTGAATGGATGAATACTGGGTGCAGCATATTCAGCCTTGTGCCATTTTACACCCTCATTGGCTTTATATGGACTAATGAAACCAAGAGGCCTGAACCGTAAGTAGAGCAGAAACTGTCATTACGTTTCATAATTCCAAGTTGGACAGATTGTCTCTGGGATGCCTGATTAGGCTTTCATTCAGCTGTATTGCTGTTCGTTTGGTCAGGTTCGTAGCCTGACATTGCAATTCATGATGCAACATTTTCTTAGTAGAAATTACTTGAGGCAGACACTCTTTTCCTCTGGTAGCTCCGCTGTAGCTGCGGGGAATGGTGTGAGCGCATGTACGGTCTCTTCAGCGACCACATATTCCTCTACGGAAAGTGGCGTAAGATCTGTTTTTAATGAGGCCAAAGATAACCACACTGGCGCTCTCTTTTCGTCCCAGCAATCATGCGAAAAGGGCTGTTCCAGGATGTTGCCACTTCATTTATTAACATTTTAGCTGGACTTCTCATTTGTTGCTGAATCTGGGCCAGTTTCTCCTTAGCAGGGTGCTTGATTTAAAGTATGGTACAATTTGCCATGTTTTTGTGTGTTTTAGTGCTAGATTCTGGTCAAAAGATTTTTTAACTAATAAATTTAGTGAATGAGTGAAGCAAAACACAGGCCAAGCATGGAGCAGCCTGATGGACATCATGTTTGCTACCACATCTGTGACAAGACACAATCTTTTATGGCCTAACCCACTATGAGGTTTATTTTCACCTGAGCTAAATTCTCTGCTGTATGCATTTGCAGAAATTTGTCCACCCCCAATAAAGCTGTGCAGAGCTGGTCATTTTCTTATAGTGTCAAAGTATGAATCCATGTTTAGAAGTTCACATGTCTAAAACAGACTCACTGCCACTACATTCTGAATTCTCTGCTTGACCTTTTCTTTTTGCATTCACCATGGCTGTTAAGGTCTAAAGGCAACAAGAACAAGTGTATGACATCTGTGCCATGTTTTAAACATATACATACCTTCCTAGTGGAGAGCTCAAATGTAGCATCCATAAGGTGCATCAGCTCTCTGAACCCTTCAGGCTCCTCCAGTGTAAAAGGTTGGCTGTTGCATAATTATACTAACCACACCCACTGCTTGCTTTCTAGAAGCTTGGGAGGGTGAAATTTTATTGTTCATGCCCAGTTTTTAGGAAATATTTCTAAGGGTTATAAAAAGTTATCTATTTCAGTTATAATTGGGGCCATACCTGGATTACTCACTGCATCATTATAATGCCTTCACATTGCTCATGTACACCATTTGAGGCTGAGCCAGCAGAAAGGAGACAGAAAGCTATGCTTGTGACGAACATGATCGTAAATAGGGAAATGAATAGTGGCATTTCATATGCAAAATACATTTACCTTACTGGACGACAATGTCAAAACATTCCCAAATAGGTAGTTTTTCCTTTTTCCTCACAGGTTCAGTTGGGTGCATTTACCCTGCCCCGTAGCGATTTTGTTAAGGTGAAAACAAGTCATTGACTTTCAAGTAACAAGTAAGTTTGAAGTCTTGCCACTCAAGTTCTAAATCAAGGCCAGAGTTAAAACAGGCAAGTCTCGAGTCAACAAACCAAAGCCACAAGTCAAGTCTCAAGGCCTAAGCAAGTCTGAATATGAACTTTCGTTCTAATTTTATGCCATAACGAAGTTATACAGTATATAATGCATTGTTCTCATTTGGTGAGGTTGCAACCGATGAATCCTTGATTTGTGGGGTGGGGTTAGAACAACATCTGAGGATTTTTACCGTCCTCTGCGCTTCTGTTCTTAGTACTGGACCCGGCCACAAAGAAGTTGACTTAAAATGGGTACCTGAGAATATAAGTACGGACCAGTACGCATATTGAGAAACACCACTATCATCACATGTACTATGATATGATTAGATTATTATGCATGTCTACATCATGATGACCATGCAGAAACAACTTTAACATACTATCTTTGGTCAAACTTCTGCTAGAAATAAATCAAGAAGATCTCAAAATTAAACTAAGCCCTTGATTACATACCATTGTCATGGCAACAGGGCATAGTACAGGCAGGAAGAGGTGATGATGATCCAATGGCGGCTCTGAAACACAAAGGGTTTTTTTTACAGAAATTAAATACACTGGGTAAGACTACAAACAAAAGGACCACAAGAGGTCAAAAAGCAACATGGAGAAAAACAACTAACTTCAAAAAATGACAAGGAAACAAGGCCCAAGAACAAGGCAAAACTGGGAGCAGGAGCAAGCAAGGGAACATAGCACAAACCTGTAATACAGCACAGAGTAACATCTAACACAATGACCAACTACAGAGCTGAACTAAGGCAGGAACATAAATACAGAAACCAAACCAGTGGCCTATACTACAAAGCAAGGTGGCTTATCGGGATAATGATATTCATTCACTTACATTTTGCTCAGACTACCTTAAATCTGACAAGTTACTCCAATAAGCCAGTAACCCCGCTTCATAGTACAGGCCACTGGTAACAAAGCAGCACAAGTGAGACATGCAACAATTATCCAATCAGAGAGGGTGCAGGACAACGAGCAATCAGGTAGAACAATCATGGGAAACAGGGAAACAGGTGGGTAAAATAAACTGAATCATGGAACAAAAAGACCAACCAAGAAACTAACAGAATCAAATACTAAGAATACAACAAAAACAAGTAATACGTACATAATCACAAACACAGGCACCTGGCAAAACCCAAAATAGAAGGCAAACCAAAAACTAGGAAAAGGAAAACTACAATAGAAAATAAACACTGGGGAACAAAATCCAATAATTATAAATAAAGAGTAAGCTAGTTTCATACTCATGACCAAAGGGTTTATAATCACACACTCATACAGCCCATAGAGCTACACAGCAGTCTGGGGAGCTGGGGAAACACACTAAGGGCTTGAAAGACACAGGGAGGACAGGATGGCCAGTGACCCCTGCTGGCCAAATGGGGGGGGGGGGAGACACAAAAGGTTGGGGAGGATGGGTGCTGACCCTGACAACCATATTTATGATAAGCATAATTTTTGTTGTTGCCCACTCAAATAATCCAAATGCCCACCCAAAAATTACAAACACCTCTGCTGCAACCCCATTACAGTCTATACTGATCACAACCCACTTGTGTTCCTTATCTGTACACAATCTGCAAATCAGCGGCTGTTGCGCTGATCTCTTATTATACAGTTTTAATCTGTTCATCAGTGTGATTCAGATAATTTAGTAGCCAATGTTATGTCAAGGTTGGGTTGAAATTTGTGTGGGCCCCGTGGTTTGTTTTGTTAATGTAACCTGTTTTGGTTTGCACTTGCGGGAAGCGGAGTTACGGTCTGCATATTTGTGATTGTCATTTCAGATTCAGGTTTTCCATATGAACACATTGCACCGAATTAGAAAAACCAGTTGATCATCTTGTTCCTGTTTCCCACTCTTTGTTCCCCAGTAGGATAAAAGAGGGACTGTTAAGCCTGTTTTTTTGTGTTCTTGACTCAACTTTGTTTGAGATTGTGATTTGATATGCTGTATATTATGACCTTGGTTTTGGCTATTGACTACATCTTTTGGATTTCAATTTGGCTTTTGTTCAGTGCGTACACACACACACACACACACACACACACACACACACACACACACACAC